ACATGGCATAGTTCAGTCAATACAGTTCATTAAAGTTTCCTATGATTTACCATTCTGTGTTGTTTTTTTTTACATACCTGTTACTATCACAAGAGGGCAGTATTTACATCAGTCACAGCTGAATATAAAAGACTGATCAGCATCCAGATTAAGTTCCCACGGTACAGATTTTTTTTGCAGTTGATGATTTTACATTTCCCAGTAATTATAATTAATGAAGTGTCATTTTACCTCCAATACTGCTGCTTTCAACACAGTAGCTGCTTTTAACAGAGTAGCTGCTCTCTACACATGTGACTGGTCCACATAAGCACATTATGGCACCAACCCTGTCACATATACCTGTATTTGTATGGGGTGTATGTGATGGGGTTGGCACGATGATGTCATCACTCCGGTACTCGTATGTGGGCAGACCCACCTGGAGATGGATGGAGGGGTGGTGTCTTGGTTCCTAAGACCATCAGAAATATGTGTTTTCCGATGGTCTTAGGTGACCCCTGTGAAAGGGTCGTTTGGCTGCCAAAAGGGTTGCAACCCACAGGTTGAGAACCACTGTCCTAGAACCTCTCCACTTTGGGCTCAGGGATGGCACATGAGGATTATCTGGCAGTAAGGATTGTAGGTGTTGGCAGTGGCCTTGGGGCTGGTGGGGTTCTGCTGACCTTTTCCCCACAAAGGGCTGGTATGAGGTGGGTGGGGTGTCAGAGGCAGGTTGTCTCTGGGCTGCCCTCCTGCACAGCCCATGATCACACATAACCACACATGACCATGGCACCTCTCTGCTCCCCCACTACTCTCCTTTTAACACCTGGCCGTCTCAGCTGTTTGTTCATTGCCTAGGTCCCTTCTTGTCAGACGTCCACCTGACACTACTCTCCTGTCACTGCCTTTCTTCACCAAACGTGTTTGTCCAGGCTGATGCTGGTGGGTGTAAATTCACTTCTTCACTTTAACTCTAAATGGTAATAGGTAATATTCCACTGTGTGAGCCAATCAGTTTATTCTTCCTCCTCCTAATGAACAATTAGGTTTTTCTTCAAAAATTTTTATACAATTCTTGATGGAATATACTTGTCCTCTTTTCTACGTATTTGGGTTTCAATAGGCCATGGCTCTTCTTTTCTTTTTTCTTTTGTGTAGTAATTAATTTGTTCAGGCATGCAGTATTTACCCTTTCCCATAGAGATTTACAGGCCACTTACTGACCCATTGCTCTGGGCATAGTTCTTAAATGTTTTTTGTGTCACATAACTCTTTAATACTCCATTGTGAAGGTGTGTAAATGGTGGCGCCCAGAGATGCTCAGGCCAGGTTTATTGAAAGGCAGAGGTGAGAGGGTGGCCCCTGTGGCTTAAAGGAGTAGGGCGCTGCCCCCATGTACTGGAGGTGGTGGGTTCAAACCCGGCCCTTAGCCAAAAACTGCAAAAAAAAAAGAAAGTTAGAGGTGGCCTGCCTGGGCAATGCAAAGATGGCATGTGCATCTGGGGGCAGTTAGAGAACACTTTCATATGGGGCCCTAGGGTGTGGGGCAGATTCCACAGCTTGCCTGTAGAGTTAGGGGTTTTGGCTAGAACTTCTCAAGGGTGGGCTAGCCAGATCCTTTGTGTCTTTGTCTTAGGAGAGGAGGGGGAGGGGAAAAGGGTTTGTGTCTGGCTGTGTTAAGGCCCCCAATACAGTGCATCTTATAGATCTCTTCTCAAAGTAATGTTTATATAGGCTAATGTATATAGAAAATAAATTATTTTAAAATAATTATCAAGGTATTAAAAAAATTAATTTATGACACTGCACCATCTCTTGGCCGGTCTAAAAACGGCCAGAATTTTGAAGCTGTCAATAAAAATGATTTTTAAGATATTTGCAGTATTTGGAAGATAATCTCTATCAGTATAGTCATGGTTACTTCTCTCCTGTTGTATTTTGTTGCCTATGTTCAAAACTGAAGGAAGTTTTAAATTTTAGTTGGGGGTTAATCATTTTGTTCCCGTCCAAGATCATAAATTTTACTATCTGTACAATTTTATTGGATGTACGTATTTTGTAATTGGAACAATTTTACCAAATTGTTTTAGCTTCCAACTACATTAAAATGGCAGCTAACATATAGTTAGCTAGTATGTGCCAGGTACCAAATTAAAAGCTTTACACGCATTATTATCCCACACAATCTTCATAGCAACCCTGAGCAAGAGGTACCATTTTAATCTCCATTTTACATGTTAGGAAATTCTGGCTTGGGAAGGTGAAGTCACCTGCTCACATGTGATGACATACAGACTCAGATTGGCCAACTTCAACACTCAGTTCTTTTCCATCATAATATAAAATTCATCGTTTATATAACTTAAAATTCACATAGTACAGTAGCCTCTAGCTACTGAGGCAAGCTAAGGTGATTTTTACATGTTACTCATGGTCTTTGTAAGAGAAAATCTATAAATTTAATGCAAACAAACTCTGCATTAAAGGTATCATGGCTATTTTAAGCTATGTAGCAAGTCATGAGGTATAGAAGACAATCTGAAATATATAATTCTGGTCCAATTCAAACATATTCTCAAAGCCCCATTATATAACTTATGTAAGAGGTAAATACTTTTATCTTATGGAGGTGCTGAATTACACAAAATAACCATCTTTATCCATTTATTTCTTATAGCAGGAAAGCCTAGGGCCAAATATGTTGTCCATTTGTTGTAACTATCTAGGTATTAATGCTGTATTCCCTCATTCCTCATTTTTAATTCATCTTCCTATGTTTTGTGTCCTTTAAACTGTGGCTTTTGTGTGGTTTTAGCTGCAGTGCATGAATGTGGTGGGCAGGACTCTAAATTAGACCCCCAAATTCCCACCCCAGTGTACATACACCTCTGTTTTCCAGTCAATCAAATGCAAATCTCTGTTCTCTGAAGGGATTTTACAGATGTAATTAGGGCTCCAAATCATGTGAGTTTAAGAAAGCATGAAAGGACTCTGGTGAGAGGGAGATGCTCAATGCTGTTTCTGAAGATGGAGGCTTTGAGGCAAGGATATGGGAGTCTGCAGGAGCTCAGAACATCTCCAGGCTGGGGGATGGAGTAAGACCTCTATGTGAGTTCTTGACAGTTGTGACACAACTCCTTGAGCTTAGAAGTGGATCTCCAGCTGACCAATGATTGAACCTTGTAAGATCCTGAACAGAGACACCAGTGTCAGCGTGCTTGACCTTCTGATCTACAGAGCTGTCAGTGACATTTAAAGCCTCTAAGTTTGTGCTCATTTATTGCAGCAACAATAGAAATCTAAAACTGAGTATTTTGCTTCAGAAAATAGGAACTATTATTTGTTAAATATTTATTGATATTAAATCCATATTACACTGGCACAACAATCCAAAGTAGTATGATAGTACTTTTTTCCTATAAATACAGCAATAAAGGCGGCAAAATAATGCTATTTTATCCCAAACCCAGCAAGTTAGCAAAAAAGTCACATTTAAAAAATTTGGCAAGTAAGATATGACATAAGTCATAATTCTGCAACATAGATCCATGAGAGCTTTGCCTCGTGTCTTAGATTCCATGTTAGAGGCACAGAGGCATGGTCAGGAAAACCTGTGCCATGCTGCACAGAGCATCTGTGCAGGCCTCCCGGAGCTGAACGAAGCCTATTAGTATTTAAGGCTTGGTTGGTTAGTGTTCTTAAAAAGAAATGGAAAGCTGTACTTGTGACACAGTAATATGAAATACATGGGGTGGTACACAGGTATAAACTTACTACATATGAATTGAGTAACTTAGCTAAGAGAGGTCAAAACATAAATAAGAAAGATAAATGTGTTTTGCATAAGGAATACAGTGTTTATTTTCATAGCAAAGTACCATTACAGCTTTATGGTGTATACTACCAGGCCAAATTATTTTTTTCTTCTCTTTAAAATTTATTGGTTCCGACTTATAACCGTCAAGTCTGGTCAGAATCCACCCCCTCTAGCTGACGCAGAATTGCACACACTCAGCACAGTCTTGGCTGAGCTGCCTCTCACCACCTGGAGCCCAGTACCTCCTTCACCAACTGCAGGTCAGCTGGGTGGTAAGCCAGTGATTTCCACAGTCCACTTCATGGTGCCACTAAAGGCCCATTATGGCACAGACCTATTCTGTCTCTCCGGTCTCCACTTCCTTCCAGTGGACATCCCACTGTAGCTTTGTGTCTGTGCCTGTCTTACACCTTCAATTCATTATCTGCTTGCCCTAACCACCTACATCTTCACCCTGCACACACTTCACTCTCTAGTTCCTGTTGCACACATGCTCTAAACTTCCACCTGACCCTAAATTCCTCAACTTGTGATTGGCAGTGTCTTGTCTTTGGCAGCCCTCATGCCCTTTCTCTCTGTGTGTGAATGACTACAATGTAATTGTGCTGGTGGCACCTTCCTTAATTCTCCCTTCTCCTCACAGACCCATGTCCCTCAAATAGTGTATGCCTTGGTCATTTCGGTGGTTTGGGTACCTTTAGAGGAATGGACCATAATGTAGTTCTGCTTTATTCAAAATACTTTATATTATTTATATTTAAATTACCCTTTTAATATGGTTTGTACATAAGCTTCCTACCAAGGTAGCATGGAAAGAAAATACTACCACAAAGAAAAAAAAGTTAAAAAGTAAGGTATTAACCTTGTTAGAAAACTCTTAACACTAATAAAATTTAAGGCAAGTAGTTCCTTCCTTATGATTTAAGACAAAACCATTTACGAAGACAAGGCATTTACTTGGCTTTCTGTCAGCTCTTCCTCTTTCATCCTTGCGTATTGCACTTGGCTCACCACAGCTGGCTGAACAGTCTCAGAGTCACTGTTGTGTTTGTGGCACAGCCGCTTCACATTCAGTGTTTAGCGCCATCTTGCTGCATGGCACCTATAGCTGTGTTTAAGGCACATGTAGGTAACACCGACGTGGTTTCCTGTGAACAACTGATTTCCTTTAGCATTCTGGCATTTCAGATCACTTTAATGATAGCAATTCCAAAAGTATCAAATTGGACAATAAATGTGAATTTTTCTGTGCAATGTGTATACTTCTATTAGCATCACCTACTTAAATGCTAAATTTGGTTTATCAAGTAAGAAAAATATTATTTTGGTGTTTATTTCTTACAGTCACTTTTACGTAAGGTGACAAAGGAGCATGTTGGTCAAGGCAGTGGCTGTCTTGGTGTTTCAGCACCAACAAGAGAGCCAGTCACAGGTCCTCACTTTCCACCAAGATGGTGCTCAGTGCCAGGTGGGATGGGCTAGCTTCAGGCTGGAAGGCTGCTTTGATGTCTAGTCCCTGGTCCGAAAGTGCCGCATAGCGACTGGCAGAGGGCCGGACTTTCTTTGGCTTGGTGCTCTGCGGCTGCTGATGCCACTGGGCTACAAACAACAAGGTAAATTAAGATCTTTTATCATTTACCATGAAACTGTAGAATATTTTTAAACATAGTTACATCTAGATAGGACACGTGTTCTTTGTAGTTGTTAAGATTTTTTTTTTTAAGATGTAATTGGAGAGCCCTTAGATGTCAGGATGGATATGTTTTGATGGGTAACAGGGGCATGTCCTCTGTGAAAGACTGAGCACAGTCACGGTAGATGGTAGAGCCGGGAGAATTGAGGGACCTGTGCTGTGCTCATGTGTTAAGAGATTTACTGTCTGTGCAGGGTGGTGGATGCCATTAAAGACTTGAAGTAAACACTGTAGCACAGGGGACCTTTTGACATGAGCTTCCTAACTCTCACACTGTACTTGTGACATAGTAATATGAAATATATGGGGTGGTACACAGGTATAAACTGATTTTTTTATTGAAGAAAATATAGTAGTTAGGAATTCCCAGCGGATGAAACTGAACACTAACACTAATCAGTTGAAAGGAATCAGGCAGGAGAGAAGGCTGGGGCCACTTCAAAGTTATTTGTTTCCCATAAGAGATAAAGTTTGAGGGCAGTTCTTTTTTTTTTTTTGAGTGGTTTTCTTTATGTTAATGGATCACATAATGCTGTTGTACTGGTTTGTAAATCCAGTAGGAAAGTTTTCTTTGTATTTAGGACACATGTACACAAATACACAAACACAAGTCTGTGCCTGAGCTGTGTAATACACACTACAATGAGAAGCATAAGCAAGCACACATTCCAGCCTTAATAGGACATGAATCTTGGGTGCATTAGGGTACTGTGATTGGATTATCACCAAGGCAGAATGGTAGAACACAAATTAAGAAAATGTAAAAAACACGTAGTTATGCCTTTGTTTACTATCAGCGCCTCAGGATGCTTGAGTAAGGAAGCCACAACTAGCCAATGTAAGAGAAATCAACATGCATGTTTTGCTAATAAAGTTCCTGAATGGTACTTGGGTATTCGTTCTCCTGGTGTGGTTCATTATTAATGTTGAGAAACTATAAATGGAAAGAGAGAGCAATATGAATTTTTTTACAAAATATTATAGTTGTTTGTAAGAGTAACATAATTTGCTGTTCAAATGTCTAAATATTCCTAATTTAGTGAGTAAATGGCACTCACTGTAAACATCCAGCCTGGCAGTGCAGGATACAATCCCCGCTTCGTTCTTGGCTGACACGGTGTACCACCCGGCATCATCCTTGGTGGCTCCTTGGATAAGCAGGCAAACGTAGCCATGGCTATCCTGGTGCATGCTGGAGGAAGGGCAGAGGCATTAAGGCACTAAATTTTTAAAAAGTGGCTTTGAATATGAAACATGATTTAGAATTATGCAAGTAGCAGGTAACAGGGTCACTCCTAATTCTACAGCGGCTACTAGTGCACTAAAGCCAATGGGAAGAGCGGACACCAAGAGGGTGAATAGATCAGCTTTTACAGAAACCTCTGAATAACCCTAAAGCAAATGAATCCATCTTTTCTTTTACATGTAAAGATAAATATTACCATCAGAGAATGTGCTTCCGTCTAAAAGTCTTATTCTACATTAGCGTGATTGGTCTGTGACTCATAAAAAGTGTGGCTTTTGCATAGAGATGTACATGCTTTATAAATGTGTCTTTACAGATGTCACCAGGAATAAGCACTTTCCATTAGGCCATGTCACGGTGCTGCCTTACCTCACACGATCAGTGCTGTGAGTGAGTGACTCGTTTTCTTTCTTCCAAAATATCTGTGGTGGTGGCACTCCTGAGACATGGCACTCTAGCCGCACGGGGTACCCATCAGCGACCCCCGTGTTCTGCAGCTTCTCAATGAACATGGGAGGCTTGTGCACTTCTTTGGCTAGGAGAGCACGAGACAGGCTGCCCATTAGTGATGCAGAGGGGCTGCAGGGGGCTCAGGGAGATGTTTGGTTTTGTATCACTTTGACTCAGGTGCTGTTTTCTTCATTCCACTCACTTATCTCAATTAGTTCAAGTCTGATCAGCCCATATGGTGCCCTGGCCACCTGTCAGACTCATTGGTCTGTGCCACAGCCATCACCAACCATACCACCCTGGGTTCCCTCAGTGCCCTCTGAGAAGCTTGCTACAGAGTTCTGAAAGTCTTTAACTCTCAGCTTAAGTGAGAAATGCCATAAGACTTACAGGGAGAACATACAGGGAGGCATCTTAATCTAGTAGCTTTAAGTAGTTACCTACAAACTAGGAATGCACATTCCATAAACTACAAATTCCAACATGTATTCTTTGAAGGCAGCTATAAAAAAAGATAAGGCAGCTTTACTACTTAGTCTGAGAAAAATCAGAACTAATTTTTTTTTTTTTTTTAAATAGAGTCTTGCTATGTCGCCCTCAGTAGAGTGCTGTAGCATCATAGCTCACAGCAACCTCAAACTCTTAGGCTTAAGCGATTCTCTTGCCTTCGCCTCCCAAGTAGCTGGGACTACAGGTGCCCACCACAACACCCGGCTATTTTTTGGCTGTAGTTGTCGTTGTTTGGCAGGCCTGGGCTGGGTTCTAACCTGCCACCTCCATGTATGTGGCTGGTGCCCTTGCCGCTGAGCTATAGGAGTCAAACCCAGAACTAATTGTTAATAACATTCAATGTTACCTAATCCAATGGGAAATTGTTTTCAGGGATCAGTAGTGGAAACCATTTCAGAGAAAAATTTTGAATTTTAGAAGAATTGTACATTCTGTTAAAATTGGGAATATGGGCAGCACTTCTTGTGTAAGCAAAGCCCTGGGTTCTGGGCATCTATACCCTGCTGCAGACTCTCCCTGTGCCATACCGAGAACCAATGCACAGATGAGAGACCACACAGCCCGTAAGAGCTGCTGAAGTCCCCTTTCTTGGTTGGCAAGAGGAAAGGAAGATTAAATGATAATGGTTAGACCTGAGCACAAGAAATGAGTGTTTCTGACGTGTTGGGCCTTGTAACATGTGCTCATCGACTGTTTTGATGATACTGGTTGCTTTACTTTCCATATTTGTCAATAATGCAGACTGGGTCTACCGCTGTCAGTCTGATGCTGTTTCTGACAGAGAGAGAGCGGGTTCACATGTGAGCATACCTGCAACCACCAGCTCTAGGCTGAAGGAGTTCTGCCCTGCCCGGTTGGTGGCAATGCATGTGTAGATGCCAGCGTCCTGAGCTGTGACAGGCTCTATGATCAGGGAGTGTACCCCATTCTCGCGCACCAGCATCTTGTGAGTGCTGTCAGGCCGTATGGGCTTTCCATCGAGCTGCCAGTTCAAGTCTGGGTTTGGTAACCCACTGACCTAAACCAGAGGGAACATACGTTAAAACAAAGGGAAATCACTACTAAGAAATTTTGTAGTAGTATAAGAGACGGCTGTTAGTATCAGCTTCTATGACTTTGCTTATAGCTTTCCAAGGGTGAGATGGGGGTCTTGCTCTGGCTCAAGCTGGTCTTGAACTCCTGAGCTTGAGGGATCTTCCTGCCTCAGCCTCCAGAGTGATTATAGGTGGGAGCCACTGTGCCTGGCCCCAGTGTTTTTTTTTGAGACAGAGCCTCAAGCTGTCGCCCTGGGTAGAGTGCCATTGCATCACAACCTCCAACTCCTGGGCTTAAGTAATTCTCTTGCCTAAGCCTCCCAAGTTGCTGGGACTACAGGCACCTGCCACAATACCCAGCTATTTTTTGGTTGTAGTTGTTGTTGTTTGGCAGGCCCAGGCTGGATTCGAACCTGCCAGCTCTGCTGTATGTGGCTGGCGCCTTAGCTGCTTGAGCTATAGGCGCCAAGCCCCAGTGTTCTTTTAGTGGCAGGGATGTCAAGGATAGTTATGTCCCTGTACAGTGAAATAAAGTACTTTCATTTCTTAAATATGACTAACAGAGGTGATATTATAGCTAATCTCTATATAACCCTTATTAAGATTCACTCGTTTTTTTCATATTTTAAAATAAAATTTTATGTAATTTTACCCCTATACATAAATAAGTAGACATATCTAAAAAATAGTTTTCTTACACAATCATAATTCCACCTTTACACATAAAATTAATAATCCCTTAACATCATCTAAAATAACATTTCCCCAGTTGATTAAAAACAAGTCATTTTGGTGGCACCTGTACCTCAAGCGGCTAAGGCACCAGCCATATACACCAGAGCTGGTAGGTTTGAATCCGGCTCGGGCCTGCCGAACAACAATGACAACTACAACCAAAAAACAGCCAGGTACTGTGGTGGGCACCTGTAGTTTCAGCTATTTGTAAGGCTGAGGCAAGAGAATCGCTTCCTAAGCCCAAGAATTTGAGGTTGCTGTGAGCTGTGATGCCACACACTCTACCCAGGGTGATAGTGTGAGGCTCTGTCTCAAAAAAAAAAACAAAACAAAAAAACCCAAGTCATTTTACAAGTGGTCTATAACTACGTTTTACAATCTACTTAGGGTGACAGAGTGAGACTGTCTCAAAAAAGAAATATGTAGATATCTATCGGGTTATGTTTTATTCATTTTTTTCTGCTCTTAAACTGGAATAAGGAACTACAGAGAATTGTCAATGAGGGGGGAGAAGTGAGGCAACAGATTGGCAGATGGTAAGAAACTTACTTTGCAATCCATCCTGCAGAGTTTTCCTTCCTGAACAGTCAGGTCTCCAGGGGCCTGTAGGAAGTGAGGTCTGCAGAATCGCTCCTGAATTGGCTCATTTTCATCTCCACTGTCCCTTGATCTGGATCGAGGCCTTGAAACAAGACAGAAATATCAATAGTTAGTTATTCCCAGACTTTAGTCATCTGTTTTCTTAATATACACAAGGTAATAATATGATTTTCTTATCTGATCCCTACCCTTAAGATTAAAAAAAAACAAAAAAACAAAAACAGAAGGCTTGATGCCCTTAGCACAGTGGTGAAGGTGCCAGCCACATGCACCAAGGCTAGTGGGTTTAAGTGCGGCCCAGGCCAGTGAAACAACAATGACAACTGCACCAAAAAATATCTGGGTGTTGTGGTGGGCACCTGTAGTCGCAGCTGTTTGGGAGGCTGAGGCAAGAGAATTGTTGAAGCCCAAGAGTTTAAGGTTGCTGTGAGCTGTGATGTTAATGGGAGCAACATAGTGAGACTCTGTCTCAAAAAAAAAAAAAAATCATAAAAGCAAAATCTTGTTTAATTTCAAAATTTATCATAAATTTAATATTCTCCTAATTACATAAGTCAGACGGGGAAATGGAGAAAAAATGTGTTAATATATAATGTTAAATTATATATTATGTGTTAAAATATGTATTATAAGTTATATATATTTAACATTATATATTAACACATTTTTTCTTAAATTTTTTTTAAAGGTTTATGAAAAGTAGCAACAGCTATTGCTGATTACCAAATCATTTTCAACTGAAATTACTATAACTTTCCACTGTGGTTCAGAAATTAAAAGTTATTATTCTATAAAAATTTTTAATATATTTTTAATCAAAATTTATTTGATATTAATCAGGAAAACAACGTGAAGCAAGTTTTTTTCTTTAGTTATCTATATGCTAAAAGCCATTATTCTTTCCTTTAAAAAATAAGATTGTGCAGATAGTCCAGATTTTCTGCATCTCTCACTTCTTTAAGAGGAATGCAATTTAAAGCTAGTGCAGCGTACACTGTAGAAAAGATCAATATACTGTATACAAATTCTGTCAGTAATTACTAGAAAATAAGTTTAAAAACATTCACTAGAAAAAGCAAGAGTGGAACAAATGAAATATCAGCATACCAGGCTATTAAATGGTCTATTCTTCTTGAGGGTAGATCTAATTTATGAGAAAAATGCTTTCTAGAGGACCCACTGAGATATGGAAAAGTTTAAATGTATTGAAGACCTCAAGAAAAGCAGTAAGGACAACTGCTGCAACTTTTGACAGTGGCCTTTCTGCTAAGTATGCTGAGAGAAATTACGGCCACTGACAGTTGCTTGCGTCATGTGAAGATACTGCCACCACATGGCTGGAATTAAATCTGCATGTGCTCAGCTGCCAGAGTTGTCTTATCAATGTTGGTGAAGGTCTCTGGATCCAGTCACACCCCCTGTGTGATGCTTAGTCAGTTTCTCTGCTGGCCTCTGTGAACCTGACTGTGTTCAATTTACAGCTGGCCTATTTGGGGATACTCAAAATATCTATGAGCCCAGGCTGACAGGCTAGTTGACTTTTGTTTTTTTAAATGCAAACATGTTACTAAGAAGTAGTATCTCTTTTCTGTCTCTGCCTCTCATTTTTCTGTATGCATCCCTGCACAGATGCAGGGCTACTAAAACTGGGAAGCATGCTGTTATTAGTTTTAGCATTTAAAATACGACAGATTTTGGCTCAGTGCCTGTAGCTCAAGCGGTTAAGGCGCCAGTCACATACACTGGAGCTGGCAGGTTCAAATCCAGCCCAGGCCCACCAAACAATGACACCTATAACAAGAAAAAAAAAAAAAAAAGCCAGGTGTTGTGGCGGGAACCTGTAGTCCCAGCTAGGGAGGCTGAGGCAAGAGGATCACTTAAGCCCAAGAGTTTGTGGTTGCTATGAGCTATGATGCTATGGTACTCTACCTAGGGCGACAGCTTGATACTCCATCAAAAAAAAAATTAAATTAAAAAAATGACAGATTTTAACCTGCAAAATTTGTGGTCTGATGGTCTTTAAGAGCTTGAAAAATAAATATTAACAAATAGCTGATTTTAAGAAATGCAGTGGCAATCGGTCAACTCACATGGCTGTTGATACACAAATGTTCAAAATCAAACTTCTTTAAACAAATGTACTCGTGTTTAATGGTAATATACCATTTAAAGGAACTGAGTGTGTCTTCACACATAAAATGCGCTCTATTTGGCAAGTTAACAGTGGTGTATCTGAGTGGGCCTAGCGCATCTCAACAATGTTTGTTCCCTCTCCTTTCTGAATAGCTAAGGACCCATACATGGTGAGTCCGTACTCACATTTCATCTTCCACTTTTGTGGCCACACTGTGATTTTAATACTATTGACTGTATAGTGATAAATAAAGAAAACAAGAATAAACAAAATAATAATGACACATATGGGAAAGAACATCTGAAATACCTTCTGGCATGAGGGTGGCCTGAGGGGGCGCGGGGACTGCGGCCTCTCTGGTTGACAGCCTGGACCATCAGCCGTCCAGTGCAGCTGGTGCGGCCCTGCCAGAGACATCAGGAAGGGGTGACTTGCTGGGCAAAGCTGGTAACCATTAAGCATACTCAAGTCTATTGTCCTGCTCCCCATAAGACATCATCACACAACAAATCTGTGTGGTGTGTTAGCAGTGGCAGCACCCCTTTTAGAAAAGCATCTTCTCTGAGTTAAGTTCCTCAAGTAAAACTCTAACACAAATAAATTTGGATGAGAGGGTCTTTCTCTCAACTGTTAAATAAACTTCATTGTTTTATCCAGGACAGTAATTTTTTTTTTTTTTTTTGAGACAGAGCCTCAAGCTGTCCCCCTGGGTAGAGTGCCATGGCATTACAGCTCACAGCAACCTCCAACTCCTGGGCTCTAGCGAGTCTCCTGCCTCCGCCTCCCAAGTAGCTGGGACCACAGGCGCCCACCACAACGCCCGGCTATTTTTTTGGTTGCAGCCGTCATTGTTGTTTGGCGGGTCCGGGCTGGGGATTCGAACCCGCCACCTTAGGTGTACATGGCTGGTGCCTTTAGCCGGTTGAGCTATAGGCGCCGAGCCAGGACAGTATTTAACATGACAACCCTCTTTGAATTAATCATAATCTGTGCCTATGGGCTGTGGCCAATTCTGAATCAAAGCTACATATTTTGTCAGGTATTTTAGTGATAACCTTACTAAAAGTTAGTGGCATCCCTTACCCAAACCACACATGAAGAAGTAGATGTCAGCATGAGAAAATGAGCATTAGGTAAGAACCACGCTGGGATGGCCTGAATGACATCACATTCATGTAAAATGAACAAATCTGAGACTTACAAACTAGACACAGTTAAACCTAAAATATTTAAGGGGCTGGACACAGAGCTGACCCTCCATACCTGCTTGCACGTTCTGTTCTAAGGCAGGGTAAGTTGTGTCTCTGAGTTAAAGTGACGGTAACTTACTGAACGCATCCATGGACCAGGTACACGGAGTGCTTTTCACACATTTGTTGAAGTTGTATGTGTGTGTGGGGAGAGTCGAGGGCTGGGGGAGGAGGGAGGGAGCGCTTGTCAAAGTATTAATGATGGTAGTTAACTGAGTGATGGTTAATTGCTGCTAATTGAGAGAGTAAAGATAGTTGGTAGGTGTCAATTGAGAGTGGAGGCTCTTCCTTGCTCCCCTCATTAAGAGATAGTAGTGTTGTTAATTGAGAGTGGGGGTGGTGGTGCTCCACTGATTTATGTTATTGAGAGACTGAAATTAAGAACTCGAATTAATTTGAAAGGAATTTAAAAGGAGGAAAACTTGGAACTTATTATTTGAGAGGAAGATCTTACGGGGTCAGAGCAGGCACAGTGAGATGGCATGTGGCTTGCTGGAGTAGTGGGTGAGTGGCCGAGCGGCCGAGCCAGAAGCTATGCTAGCCCTGCCAAGCCACCTGGCCTGAGGCTGTTCAGTGTGGCTCAAGTCCTGGGTTTTTGTCTTTCTGTTTGATTTCCTGCCCTTCTTTTCCTTTCACATATTTGGTTTCTCCCAAGGTACAAAGTCACTTCTTATTCATTTTTGTGTACTACATATATTCTAGTGTCTAGAATATATAAAGTATTTGGTAAAAAAGAATTTGCAGGATTCCCCTGGGAACTTGTTACCCAGAAGCCTGATTCTAAAAGGCAACTGATTTGCTGACTCTAAATCTAGGGGCAAATTGAAGAGAAAACATTTTGGTGAAAACACATCCTGAATGCTATACATAAGTACTATCAAAATTATGTGACTGTGCTCTTATACAGTACTTATCCCATTTACAAGTGTGTATTTTAAAAATATTTTGTTTTCCTTCTGCTTTATTTTCTCCATATAACCCTACCTGCTATTTCATTACTTGTGTATTTGTTTAGTGCTTATTTTCTACTGTGGGGCTGTGTCCAGTCCACTATTGCCATCTATCGCCTACTTGTTGGGCCCTCACATTGTGGAAGGAATACTTGTCTACACTGAATCACTTGGTAGAACAACATCTGAAAGGGTAAGTCACTCAGGAGATGAAGAATTTTTCTGTCTTCTGAAACCAAGATGGATGCAGAATGTAGAAAAATAGTTTCATGAGTCAAAGGAGTATAACTTCACCTTCTAATTAAACAGCTTCTCTGTCCAATCAAACGCCCATAGGCACTAGACATAGGCCTGCACCATCCTTCCTCACCTGAGGGTTTGCAGCCATGATGGTGTAATTCCCATCATCATCCAGGGTGGAGGCCATGGTGTGGAGGGAACAGGTCCCGTCTGGGTCTCTCTGAATGGCATAGTGACTGCTCTTGGGAGAAACCTGCTTCCCATCTTTAAACCAATAGACCTGAGAGAGGAAACAGGACCAATCAGGACTAATGAGGAATGTGTATAGTTGCATTCTGTTTGGAGGACTGTAAATAACCTGGTGTCTGCAGACCTGACCTGAGTTTTCATGTTGAACCAAATACCTGTATAGGAAATTGAATTTTGAGCGAAAAAAAAGCAGGTAGCAAACAAATTCAATTCTATTTTACTTTAAAAAAATACACGGTATATAATACCTCCTTTTGTTTTTAAAAACATGGCATGGCATCCATACGTTATTTACATAATAGACTATATATTGAATTTGGATAGTTATGTAGGGGTTATTTCTGTCTGGAGGGATTGTAGGCATTTTTCTTTTTGCTTTTCTCAAATGTGTTGGCAATTAAAATGTATTACTTACAATGTAAAGGTAATAAGGTTGTTCCCAAGACAAATACAGATCCCAAACTCTAGTCATTCCGCTGAACTATCTGACAAATAGAGGCTGCAGGGAAGGTGGGTGGCTGGCGCTGGGATTCTGAGACCCGTGCATATGACCAAAGGCCTAAAGCTTGACAGCTGCCCTCACTGTGGCAACAATGACCAAAGGCCTAAAGCTTGACAGCTGCCCTCACTGTGGCAACAATAGCACAGTAATATTGAAAAGTACAGTATTTTTCCTTTTTTTTTTTTTTTTTTTTTGTAGAGACAGAGTCTCACTTTGTTGCCCTCAGTAGAGTTTTGTGGCGTCACAGCTCACAGCAACCTCCAACTCTTGGGCTTAGGCGATTCTCTTGCCTCAGCCTCCTGAGTAACTGGGACTACAGGCGTCCGCCAGAACGCCTGGCTATTTTGTTGTTGTTGCAGTTTGGCTGGGGCTGGGTTTGAACCTGCTACCTTTGGTATATGGGCCTGGTGCCCTATCACGGAGCCACAGGCACCACCCCAAAAGTACAATATTTTTCACATATATAACTTCAGTTGATAAAAAAATTACATGTGAAAAATAAGGTAAAAGTAAATTTTGATTCAATATGAATTTTAAAGTGGTCCAACTACTTCTGTAGATCCTCTTTCCTTCCCTCATCTTTAAATAAAACCACTGGTCCACAGATACGTGATGATTCAGCCATTATTCTGGATTTAGAGTATGAACTACACGGTGGAAAGATGGGC